GATAAACTCCGATGATTATGGTTAGTGATTCTCTTCCCACCTGTGCAAATATTAGTTCTAGTGCCTACTACATATAATATCTACGAAAAATTGTTACAGATGTGTATAAGTGACAGAGTGCATACTGCGTAGAGTATCTCTATCATAACAAAAACTTCAACATACTTATAGGATCTAATAACAAACACACTATGGGATCTTGTTTGAGGTACTGCATGAAACCCACCACAGGATTAGGCGTCTACTGTCTGATCCTTTCTCCCTAATTCTCTATCCTAGTTTCTACAAAGATTTGATAAGATGTTATGTGAAAGGCTCAATAAATTAGAAGAAGCTCGGAAAAGTTTTAAGCTGCTTGACTTCAGTATAAAGGTATTGACCTAGTTCTCTACCCTGAATCTACGTTCAAGTTATGATATCATTGATAATTTGATCTTAGTATCAATAACAATGGAAAGAGTAGGAATCTAGAGAAAAAATGTTAACTAAACTCAGTCCAGTAACAAACCTCTCTAAAAATCTTTCTAATAGATAACGTTCGATGAAATGTGCGACATGGTGCTAAGTATCTCTAAGGAGTCCTTGCTACGACAGATTGAAAAAGATTGCACGGATGTTTCCAACGCCATGTCATCCTTCCCAGTGATAATTCCAGGCACCAGATACTACAAGGGCATAAAGGTAAGACAACAGGAAATTGGAATTAAATACAAGAAACAGGCACAAAATTAGATATCCAATTTGGCATACTCATGAAACAGAATAATCTGCCTCCTAAGAAATCGAATATTTTCAGTGTCATGCAGTTAGCAGCTTGTTTATCCAAATCAAAAAACTTATAACAAATGGAATTGGTTTATACATGCTCGTAAAAGACTGATGGAAACCTTAGGAGAAATGATTGCAAACCGGAGCAGTGGAATGGAGTCTTCTGAAGACTTTCTGCAATCAATGCCGAAAAGAGAATCATATCCGCCAGATAAAAAGTTTTGTTGGAGCTATGGTATGAAAGCTGAAAATGCGATGAAATGAGAGTTGCTAAATGATGCGCAACATGACTGCACAGTAGCAGCAAAGTGACAGCGGCATGGAGCTGCACATGGGCTACAAGAAATGGCAGCAAACTTCAATATTTTAGTCAATGTTTTAGGTAGTTAATAGTTATTGCATTAGGTAGAAAAATATTATTGTTTTATGTGTAGTGAGGAAGGAAGAAATTGAATGAAAATTGAGTGAGAGAAATCATGGTTTCTCCCCTCTGATTGGGTGAATGCCTGCACCCTTCCATGTTCATGACTTTATGTTCTATGTCATGTTCTAAGTTCTACTCTCCTCTAAGTTTGTTGGATTTTTGAGGTAAGAAGAAAAGGGTGAGAGAAGACTTGGAGGAGAGTAGAACTTAGAACATGACATAGAACATAAAGTCATAAACATGGAAGGGTGCAGGCATTCACCCAACCGAAGAGGAGAAACAATGCTTTCTCATACTCAATTTTCATTCAATTTCTTCCTTCCTTTTTATA